GATCTTCCTCAAAAAAAAAAAAGAGTAATGACTGTTGTGCATTTTTCTCTGTCTAGCAAGCAAACCCCACTCTAGTAGAGAAAAGTAAAAAGGAACAAATGATCTGGAAGAGAAACAATACTGATTTAGTAATATGTCCATTCTACTGTAACATGCTATTTTATCAAAAATCATATTTAAAAACTAGAGGCCACAATGTCTCAGACTATGTCTAAATTATTGTTCCTGCATGGATTTCAATAAGAAACATCTCTTTAATAGCTACATTAAACTAAAATACTGACACATTACTAAGCAATCAAGCTATTCCAAATGGGATTACATCTAGATTTTATTCACGAGTTGAAGCCTTTCTGACACACTCTATTCCTGGATAGAAAAATTCAATATTATAAAGGTGTCAGTTCTCTCCTTAATTAGAATACATAATTCAATATGATTTCCCAACAAAATAACAATGAGAATTTTTTTTTTTCTCTAAATTGGAAGAAAGGAATGGAGGCAAGGAGGGAAGGAGAAGGGAAGGGAAGGATATGAGGGAAGGGAAAGAGAGTTCTTTCTTTCTTTCTTTATTTTTATTTTTTTTTGCTGAGGAAGATTTGCCCTGAGCTAACATCTGTGCTAATCTTCCTCCACTTTACATGTGGGTCGCTACCATAGCATGGCTGACAAGTGGTCCTTGCCTGGCATCTGAACCTGCAAACCCTAGGCAGCCAAAGCAGAGCATGCCGAACTTTAACTACTACGCCATGTGTGGTTAAACTTAAAACCGTAACAGAAGAAAACCCTTTTTAAAAATGGGAAAGGACTTTCTAAAACATTAAATTCACAGGTCATAAAAATAAAAACTGATAAATTCAACATAATAATTTAAGAGTCATGAATTGCAAGCAAACGTGCAAATAAACATACTCTAATTCAAAAGGAAATGTCAAACAGGAAAAACAATATTTGTAACATATAACACACAAAGGGCTAATTTCATTAATCTACAAAGACTCCTTATATATAAGAAAAAGGACAACTCAAAAAAAGATAAAGAATGTTATGGTATGTGAATTTATTTCAATAAAACTAATTGGGGAAATGACATCAAAAAGCAATTCACAGAAAGATAAACACAAAGAGTAAATGAACATATCAAAATGTGATCATCCACATTCATATTTAATGATGTGGAAATTAATTCAGGAGATGACATTTTTCAACTTTAAAATGGGCAAAAATTAAGAAGTTTGAGAATACCTAGATGAAGGTGTCTACCATTTCACACTGAAAGGAACTAGAACTTCTTTCCAAGATGCCAGGTCTGGGGTGGAAAACTGCCCAATGAGCCTGGAACAGCTTGTCTATCAGAAAGTAAAGAAGCTACCAATGACTATGGGAGTACTGTCAAGGACATGGGATGAACTTGAAGGGCTCCTAGTGACCAAAAATGAGAGTTTTTGAGCACTATAAAGAATAAAGACAGCAATGGAGTGAAACATTTCAAAAATGTTTAAGACTAAAAGTTCATGACACAACTTAAAAACAAAAAAACAAAAAAAACATCAATCGTCACCTTCGCAATTACCAGGGCACCAACTCGTTCTTAAAACTGGCAAAGGGGAAAAAAATAAAACATCCACCCGCCTTTCCTCTATGAGCTGTATGAATATATATATACACTAAGGTAACTCAACACTCGATAAAAGACCAAGTTCTTTAGAGGAAAATTCCAATTAATAAACACAGAAAGAATAGAATATCACCAATTCTCCAAAGATAAAGAGCAATCCCTCTGTTACAGGAGAAAAGGGATAAAGAAAAAATACCCTTCAGGACTATGGGTTTTGTTTTTTTTACAAAAACCTCTATTATCTGTAAATGTTAAAAACTGAATTAACAACTTTTCTATTCTAATCATGACCATTATTAGCAAATTAGTGCTTTTTAACCCTGCTTATTGTCCTTTCTGTCACTATTATGACAAAGCAAAAAAAAACCCTATAACAAAGCAGTTATAGTATAAGCCAAATAACCTTTTTTTCCTAAAAGCAAGATTCTAGTTTCCAATGACTAGTTTCTAATAGAAATCATTTTACCCATTACTAACAGTAGAGTAATATAAACTGTGTTTCTTAATTAATCTATCTGTATATCCCATAGGAAATATGTGTCGAATTCAGTCTCAAGAATGACGGAATCTTGTGTACCAAACAGGTTTTTCACTTCCTCACACAGAGACCCTGATTAGGCAGAAACTATTAAAGCCCTCCCAAAAAAGAAAAGGGCCAGGGTGGCCTGGTGGCATAGTTGTTAAGTTCAGCGCACTCCACTTCAGCAGCCCGGGTTCATGGGTTCAGATCCCGGGCACAGACCTGTATCGCTCATCAAGCCATGCTGTGGCAGTGCCCCACATACAAAATAGAGGAAGACTGGCAACAGACATTAGCTCAGGGCCAATCTTCCTCACCAAAAAAAAAGAAAAGAAAAGAAAAGAAAAGGACCTGTGATATTCCTAAAGATGAGGAGAAGAGCACGCTTACCCGTATTTTCCAAAGAGTGAAACGGTTGTTCCTCCCACAGGCACTGCCTTTCCTGGTCCGTACACATCCCATATGGTCAGGGCCACTTGAGCATTCCTGGGCAGGTCAGGGTATTTTACAGGCAGTTTTAGCCATTCATTCCAGCTATGGAAATAAAGTCAACATAAACATATATATAAAACTGTCTTTCAAATTAACAAACCATATGAGAAGGATTCCAAGAGAAAAAGTCCCAAAAGATTAAATGAGGGCTGGCCCGGTGGCACAAGCGGTTAAAAGCGTGCACTCCGCTGCAGTGGCCTGGGGTCCGCAGGTTCGGATCCCGGGCACACACTGATGCACCACTTGTCAAGCCATGCTGTGGTGGTGTCCCATATAAAGTAGAGGAAGATGGTCACGGATGTTAGCCCAGGGCCAATCTTCCTCAAAAAAAAAAAAAAAAAAAAAGAGGAGGATTGGCATTGGATGCTAGCTCAGGGCTGATCTTCCTCAAAAAACAATACAAAAAACAAAAAGAAAACCCAAAAGATTAAATGCGTACTATAAAAAATAATGTGGCAGTTACCTTAGTTTTGCTCCAGGCAACTTCAGTTTTCAATACAGAAGACATGAAACAAAATTTTTGAAAAACAAAGCTCATGAGAAACAACACCGGTAAATCCTTTAATCAAGAAACTCAGACAACATCACTAAAACAAAGGAATAGGATAATAGCCAATACAAAGCTGGGATAACACTTAACCCTGTTAGAACCAAACCCGTTTTGAACCAAACTGTGATTTTCTATAAGCATTCTCTGGAACACAGTTTTATATTATGAAGAGAAAAAAATCAGAATTACTCATATTACCCTCAGAACACTGCTGAGGATAATACGCTCCTAAGAGCCTTAATAAAGCAGGAAAAAACAACCAAACCTTAAAAAGGTTGAAGTAGACTATCTACTACCTTCATAACATGAAGAAGTTACCAGACTGCTCTAGACAGACATGGGACAATATTTTTATGAGAGATTTTTCTGTTCCTCAAGTTATTTCATTAATACTGATAATGCTTAGCTATTAGTTTTTTATGCTTTCAAAGCATGTCTGTATATACGATTTCACTAAGGAATATTCTTAATCATATAGTAACGACACCACAGCTCTTTATTTTTTACTCTCTATTCATCTCTCCAAATTTTCTTTGGCATCCAAATTGCACACTGAATTTATTTGATAATTTCAACTCCCTTAAACAACAGATGGCTTCTAAAATCCCAAAAGAAAACTATGCAAACAATACACAAAGTAATATCCAACAGACACAGAGAACTGTTTCTCTGTTTACTCAAAATTATTCTCAATGGGACATATCCCAGTCTAGGTCAAATATATCTGCATCTGTAAGAAATTGAACAGAATTCTCAAAAATTTAAAGGACAAATCATTTATATCCACCATATAAATTCAAGGAACTACAGGAAAATTAGAGATGGCTATGAATTTAAAGGAGAATGAGAAAGTCATTAAATCCTTTTCTTGCATGAAGTTCTTAAAAAAATAAATCATATGCTTTAAAAAGCCATTCTCCACTACAGATAAGCTTAAGGAACTAAATAAATTTATTTAATTACCATCTACATGGTGGGTCAGGCTGAAAACGTAAATACTAGGCAGTGTCATCTTGTGCTAATGAACAAACCATCCTAAATTTGTGGTTCTAAGAATTTTGAGGGGTCACAAGCCACCTCAAAAAAATCTAATAAAAGCTTTGAGCTCTGTCCCTGTGAAAATGAACAACACACACAAAATTCTGCATATAATTTCAGGGTTTTGTAGACTTCCTGATTCCAGCTTACGAAGCTCTGATACAATTAAGGAATTTTGGTCCATTGTTTCAGGTGTAATATGGTACTGTAGTTATGTTTAAAAAAGAGATATACAGAAATATTTACAGTTAAGATGATATAATATTTGGAATTTGCTTCAAAATAATGGTGAGTATAGATGAAACAAGATTAGCTTCAAGTTAATAATTATCAGAGCTAGGTGATGGGGCCTTGGAAGTTCATTATATTATTCTCTTTACTTTTATAAGTTTGAAATTTGCCAGAATAACAAGTATCTATACATATATATACTTGTGTTTGTGTATATCTATCCACAAAATGACTACTAAAGAAATTATACCATTAAAATAGCAGGTTTCGGTGTAGCCAGATCACCAGAGCTCAGGCTTCTGCTGTCTCTGAAAAACCACGTCTGGCCTGCTGGGCCACACTAGGTAAATACAGGGCAGTACCCTCAACAGCATAGCGTGGCAGTCCACGTGGCCACACTTGTCTTCCATGAAGACTGGGCCTAAGCTCCTACCCTGAGAGGCACACAACCTGCATATCCTGCAGCGACCCTACCAGGGTGCTTAATAAAACTCATGGATCCATCATTAAAACTGCATCATACAATCTATCAAATAAGAATTGTCAAGAAGTTAAATTAAGGAACCACAACACTGTTCTGGAAAAATAGGAACTTCATGTTCATTATATTTACCTTGTATCCCGACAATGGTTTGGTAATGTACCATGCACCATAAACCATGAACTTAAAAAAAAAAAGTTAGTTTCATATTTAAAATAATAATAAAAATATGATCCAAACAGATGACAATAGATATCTCTAAAGATCTAAGTTCCAAACATGAAGTTGGACAACATTTCAGACCACCCAGAAGTGTTTATATGTTCAAGGGCACAGAATGGTAGAGAATTTAAAGATGCTACACGTGTGTTTTTGGTTTAGGTCATTTTGTGAATCTGTCGAGTTCTTATAAAAATATGTCAATATACTGAATACAAACATAAATTCACTTCCACCTCAATTGCAGTTATAATACTGCTATGTATCACTGCTTTAAACTATTCGATCAACGCTTATAGGTATTAAATAAAGAAATTCAAAAAAAACAAAAATTCTTCTGTAATCCCTACCAAACCACACTTCATACTTGCAACATCTATGAAGAAATGGGAGAATACTCTGGAACCCACCATATGCAAGAAAACAACTTACTTCCATCTTGTACTAAATGCCTTGTACGATGTTCTCACTGGCAAGGCCAGAGGCTTCCCTTCTGCAAAAACTTGACAAGTAACATAAAGGTCAGAGCACGTCTCTTGGTACAGTCCTGAAAACTTCAACATGGGGTCTTCTAGAACAGCTTTGTAACTCTTTTGTTCTCTCTTCCCTTCCAAACTTCCTCTGGAAGCATAAGAACAGTAATGTTTAGACATACATTTTTTAAGCATATACACAACAAATACTAAGAAGAGTTCATGGTTGTGTCACAGTAACCTGCTGCTACCTAAACATTTTCCTGTACATGAAATTAAAGTTACTTTTATATCTAATAAAGGTCTCTTAAAATCCTAACATACCTAAGATCATTCCTTTCTTCATCAACATATTTCTCTATTTTGGTCTTCTTAACTTGAAACCCTGTCATCAACTCTTGGTCTACCATCTAGATGTCACCAGCCTTCCAGGACTTAAATTCATTTTACTAATTTCAAGCTTACCACTTATTCATCTATTCCTCCAACAAACATTTAATATACTAGGCATAGAGGTCCCGAAATAAGACAAGACAATGTTACAAGAAAATGTTAAGTCCTTGCTTCTAGGGAGGAAACTTACTTTTTAACTGCCTATTCTTTTTGTACTCAATTTTTTTTTTTCACTATGTAGATGTATTATCTGATCATTTCTTTAAATTAAAAAATACAAGGTTATAAGTCATAAAACATATGTACAAGATACTATAAAAGAGGAAAGCACACTGCTTGGACAGCAAGATTACATCAGATATTGTGCCAGGTATTTTATACACTCTTTCTTTCTTACTTTTCACCATACTCTCATTTTATAAATGATGAAGCAGAAACTCAGAGATCAAGCTCATTAGCCAGGATCACAGAGTAAATAACAGAGCTGAGACTAAAAACCAGGGCAGAGGAAGCTAAAGCCAATGTCCTTCCCACTACAGAAAGATACATCAAAAAGTCCCAATCAGAATCCCAATGACATTCTTCATGGAAATAGAACAAAGAATCCTAAGATTCCTATGGGGCAACAAAAGACCCCAAATAGCTAAAGCAATCCTGAGAAAAAAGAACAAAGCTGGAGGCATCACAATCCCTGACTTCAAAACATACTACAAAGCGATAGTAATCAAACAGCATGGTACTGGTACAAAAACAGACACACAGATCAATGGAACAGAATTGAAACCCCAAAAATAAAACTTTACATCTATGGGCAGCTAATCTTCGACAAAAGAGCAAAGAACATACAATGGAGAAAGGCAAGTCTCTTCAATGAATGGTGCTGGGAAAACTAGACAGCCACTTGCAAAAGAATGAAAGTAGACTACATGCTTTCGCCATACACAAAAATTAACTCAAAATGGATCAAAAACCTGAAGGTGAGACCTGAAACTATAAAACTCCTGGAAGAAAATGTAGGCAGTACACTATTCATCATTGGTCATAAAGGGATCTTCTCGAATTCCACGATTCCACGTCTACTCAGACAAGGGAAACAAAAGAAAAGATAAACAAGTGGGACTTAATCAGATTAAAGAGTTTCTGCAAGGCAAACGAAACCAGGATCAAAAAGAAAAGGCAACCCACCAGGCGGGAGAAAATATTTGCAAACCATATATCTGACAAGGGGTTAATCTCCATAATATATAAAGAACTCACACATCTGAACAACATAAAAACAAATAACCTGCTCAAAAAATGGGCAGAGGATATTAACATTTTTCCAAGGAAGATATACAGATGGCCAATAGGCATATGAAAAGATGTTCAACATACTAATCATCAGGGAAATGCAAATCAAAACTACACAAGATATCACCTTACACCCGAGAGAATGGCTATAATTACCAAGATAAAAAATAACAAATGTTGGAAAGGGTGTGGAGAAAAGGGAACCCTCATTCACTGCTGGCAGGAATGCAAACTGGTGCAGCCTCTATGGAAAACAGTGTGGAGATTCCTCAGAAAGTTAAAAATAGAAATACCTTATGATCCAGTTATCCCACTACTGGGTATTTATCCAAAGAACTTGAAATCAACAATCCAAAGAGGCTTATGCACCCCTATGTTCATTGCAGCATTATTCACTATAGCCAAGAATTGGAAGCAACCTAAGTGTCCCTTGACTGATGATTGGATCAAGAAGATGTGGTATATATATATACCATGGAATACTACTCAGCCATAAAAAAAGACAAAATCATCCCATTTGCAACAACATCGATGGACCCGGAGGGTATTATGTCAAGTGAAATGAGCCAGACAGAGCAAGACAAACACTGTATGACCTCTCTCATATGTGGAATATAAACTAACACACAGACAGAGAGAACAGTGTGGTGGTTACCAGGGGGAAGGGGGTTGGGGGGTGGGCACAAGGGGTGAAGGGGCACATTTATATGGTGACTGACAAATAATAATGTAGAACTGGAATCTCGCAACGTTATAAACTATTATGACATCAATACAAAATAAATAAAAAGTCTCAGGAGCATCTGACCTGGCTTGGGGCAGGCACTTAGTATCCCAGATACAGGCCTGAAATCATCCTGAACAATATATGGGAGATGGGAGCCAAAGAGGTAGGAAGTCATCCCAGAAGAGAAGAACAGCAGATACAAAGGCAAAGAGGCAAGATGGTGTGTCTGGCGAACTGCAAGCTGTTTGGTAGTATAGTTACAGCATAAAGCTCGTGTGAGGAAGAAGCTAGGGATAAGAATGCAAATTAAGGGGACAATGAAATTTCAGTACAGTGCCTGACACAAAGTGAACATTCAAAAATCTGGTAACTGAATTATCTGAAGTGAGAGTAATATAATCAGACCTGTATTTATGGGACTTTTGGCAGGAGTATAAGAACACAATGGAGAGGTGGGATTTAAAGCAAAGAGATCAGTTAAAAGAACTTTAGACAAAATTAGAAAGGAAAAAGGTAGACTAAGGCTAAGGGCGGTGGGGTAGAAAAGAGAGCGTGGACCAAAGATATTTAGCAGGTAGATTCAAGACAACGTGTGAATGACCAGAGACGGTAAGAGATGGCTGTCTGCATGACTGGAAGTTTTCTGTATTAACCAACTCGATGAATCATATTAGGAATCACCTGCAGGTACGCTGCCCTTTGCCTGAGGCACATTTGTTGAATATTGACTAAACATATTATTAGTGATGTTGTGATTCATAATTTGTGATCGTTTCACCTATGAAAATACTTTTATAAGACCGCCTTAAAATGGACAGAATTTCCAACTTGGTCCTAGCTGTCCCCCATTTCAGTTCCATTATTCTCACCTCAAGATGTCATGCCTTTTAGTGCAACCATGATGCCCCAAGATTCTCCTGGAAGGCTCCTTTCTCATATCTCTGGTCCCTTCGCAACTAGCACCCTCATCTTCCACTCACAACCTCTCTGGCTAAACAATCCAGACTATCCAAAGATTCAACGTAAGCCTCGATCACCTCCCGTGCTTCTAATACTACACTCATGGGTGCTCATCTTATTCTCAGCCACCACATCCGCCTGTGTCTACCTCTCCGTAATTCCTGCAGTCTCTATTACACCTTCCAGCCCCGTTCTAAAGTAAAGATCTTCCAATTATTAACTGCGGGACGATAACTTTACCGAGACTTGATTTCTTCATCCGTAAAATGGGACAGTAAGAATCCCTCAAAAGGTTGCTGTGAACAGCAAAATGCTTTGAAGAAAAGTACAACACCGTGGGACTTAGGGCCTATTCCTACCGATGGCCTTCTGACAGAGACCACGTCCTTAAGGCTTCTCCACACAGGCCCTCTCCACGCTCCCGTTCTCCCCGCTTCCCCGGCCACAGCCCTCCTGGCCGCCCCCAGGCCGGCCTTCAGGCTCGTAACCACCTTCTCTCCCCAACCCACAGGCACCTGCCACCCGGTGCCTAAGCTCCGAGAATCGCAGTCCCCGTCCCCAGATCCTCTTACATCTTAAGCTGCACGTTGATGTCCAGGTCACAACTGTAGATGTAGTGAAACTTCTCCGCTTCCCCCATGGTACCCCCTACAAAAGCAGCGCCTACGTTTGGAAGCAAGGTACTGGCAACACGGCGGGACTGAACTGGTTGAGCCCCACAACACAGGCACTTCCGGTTTCGCCTCTCAGCCCGGGGGCAGCCAATCCCTGCCCCGAGCGCGACCGGATGCGGCGGAACCGCCCTCCCAAGTTTCCATTCTGCGCATGTGCAGAAGGCGCCCACCATCTTGCTTAAGGGCAGATAGGATTTCGGAAACTTAGCCCAACTGGTTACGTTCCAGGCTTCCTGTGTTCGTCCTGTGTTAACGGGACTTTTTTTTTTTTTTTAAGAAAATAGGAACCTGTCGTTTGAGCTTGAGCTATATCTAAAGTCAATCCAAAAAGAAATTCGATCGAAAAGAATTGTAACAACTTTCACTGGCTGAAGGCTTAATAGGGGCATAACAGGGAACAATCACAGGAATTAGAATTTTGCCAAGTTTAAATTCCAGTGGCCTTTCGAAAAATTATAGATTTAATCACCAATTTGCTATCTCAAGCAAAGATTTCCTTTCTGCTTTAGAGAGTCGAGAAAGGGCTAAACAAAGAACAAAGAAACCTGGGTTCCAGTTTTGGCGCTACCAATATTTATGCTACTTTGGACAAACTAGGTAGGGGCTGGTTTACACCGGGTATATTCAGACCCAATCCTAGGCTAACTAGGGTTTCAAGACCTAACCCTAGTTAGAACCTAAAAACATCCAATAACAACTCTAGAACTCAGAATTCTGAACCCTCTGAACTCCTACAATGCTTATTTTCATAATATTTAATATTATCTAAAATTGTAATTTTCATTTCCAACTAGATTCAGAACTCTCAAGGCAAGAATAGTGTGCCATTTACTTCTGTATCTGTCCCACTTAGTGCCTAATACACTAATACATTGCTGAGTTTAATAATTCCTATTTACTATTGAAGATATTGAATAAAAATCTCTATTTTCTATGTGTTTATTTTTAGGTGCCACATTGTAAGAGGGACATCTGCTAGAGTATGTGTAAATTACAAAGTTAAGGAAAAAATATCTTTCAAGGAAGAAGTTGAAAGGACTGTAGCTGTTTAACCTGGAAAGGTAAAAAATGGCTAATGCACAATGCTTTTCCCAAAGTAAGTTCTCAAAAATATTTGTGGAAGCAAGACTAAGGAAAAACGTGATAGTTATCCTCCTATAACTTAAAGTTCCAACAAAAAAGAGAGCAGATTTGATTTGTTCCTGAGTATAACTACTACCAAGGGTTGGAACTTACAGGAAATGTAGTTTCAGCAAACAATAAAAATTGAACTTGTTAATCATCAGAGCTGTCCAACAGTAAAACAAATAGTTACAGCTGCCCTGTCTAAAGGATAATTCCAGCAATGGGTGTGAGGTTTGATGTGAAACAGGTTTCTCAAACTTGAATAAAATATTGACAATTTGTAAAGGGCTAAATTCTGTGATTCCAGTGCTGACTTAAATTACTTTTATTATAATATTACTTAATGTGTAATCCTAAGTAAAACTCTCTCTATATATACATATATATTTCCTATAAATTGGTAAAAAAAAAAAGAACAAATTTACAAATTAAATGTAAAAACTTTAAATTAACAGTCAATATAATACACAGTCTTTTTGCTGAAACTCTATTGCCTACAACATGAATATGGATTGACTACTCTTACAGGACTGGTTCTTTGAAATGCAGCACATCTATGCTGCGATATACCACATGGCATTCAATTTTCTTGCCTCATTTTCTATTCAAATTACTATGAAAACTTCATTAGTGTAAGTACCATGATGGCATTTGGCCTTTACTTGGCCCCCAAAGCATTTTTTGTCTTAAGTCTATTTCTGTCCTTTTCTCATTAGCTCACAGCAGTTAAAGAAATACTAATTGACCCCGACACAGTCACAAACACGGCACAGATAAAGGCATAAAGATGAAGTATCAGTGCTTGGTTCTAAGACTTTCACTCTTAGAATCCAGAATTGACTTATATTAACTTTTTAAAGATAATCAGAAAAAATAACATTAAAAATATATTATGGGGAAATATTAGAAGACTGGACTGTAATTGTTAAAGACATTAATGCAACAAGAAAAACTAATATGCCAGTAAAGAGGAGGATTTTGGTAGATCGTAGAAGCATGGTAAAAATCACAGAAACCCAAACTGACAGTGCCTTTCCTGGACCAACCGTGGGTCAGGAAGATATTGATTAGTAGATCTAAGTATCAGAGTCCAGTTGGCAAGGCTATGTCTGTAGGGGAAATAGAAGCCTTAGGCATCTTATTCTGAAAGGAAAGGAATGATATTTTCTTTCCCATGTGATCTTTTACAACTCATAAATATAACACACACTTATAATTATAGAACACAATTTGCATTTCAAGAACCCGCAGTTCCACAGACCACTGCCTGTCTGTAGGAAAATAACTTTTATGCACAGGGGTTTTCTTTGCGTGGTAGGCTACTTCATTGACTATTTGGTCCCATATTTAATTCACGTTTGGAGTTATAGCTTTGATTTTGTGTTTCTTTTGCCATGTTGTTTCAATTTCATGTTTAATTATTCAAATAACAGGTTTTAATGATGGTTGAGAAATTTTTTGATAATGGTCCATTCCTTCAAGTTGTCCAGGACTCTTGTAGTGATAATGAGGTTTGCTTTTGTCAGTTTTTGTCACCCAATTTATTCTCTCTAGCTTGTAGTAAAAAAAAAAAAAAAAAAAAAAAATGCATCCATAGCTTAAGAAAGCAACCATCTACTATTGAACATCCATCAAGAAAAAATGACTATAATATTGTGAGATTTAAATGATCTCATAATTCCTTTTTCTCCAGTTAAAAAAAATTGCCTTTACGAGTTTTGTAATAACTCCTGGTGTCTTAGAACCTAATCACATGATAGAATAGACAACAGTGTCAGGAAACTTGAAAAATCTTACCTTATAAGCCTATGCTCTTGGCCATTTGTCAAGTGATAATGTGGAAAAAGATGGGTGCAAGAATGTCTACCAGTGATTCTGGAGCAGGAACCCACAAAGCCTGGGTGATTCCAATGAAAAAGGTAATTTCTATCAGCTACAAAAAGGAAAAGATCAAAAGTACGAGGTATTCTGAAAAGTAATAAAAGTATATCTTGCATGTGTGCTGCTTTGTAATATTTCTGTTATGTAATAGAAGCACCTCGTTTCTCAGTGTCGCAAGTACAAAAAGAAAACTTGCAGTTGAATGACATCACTGTCAAGAATCTCAGCTATAAAGAGGATTGAGGTCATATCTCCCCTAGGAAGGACGATCAGTTCATGCCCAAGGAACATAGCATGGGATGAGCTCTTTGTGCCTCCTCACCCCCCTCACTCAATGTGGGAGTGATCTCTAGTACTCAGACTTTGGAAAGGAGGGCTAAAACACAATGTAAGAACTATCTGATTGTTATTTATATTCTCTTGAGTCAAAATTTAAAAAGATTTTTAAAACTCTAAGTCCCATCAACTCCAGGCTTTCACAAAGCCATACTAGACCTGGGAGATTCTCCATCCTCCTCTCCTACCCCACCAAGGGAACTTCTATTAGATCTTTGCATTGCAAGCCTAAGATCACACCCTCAGAGAAGCCTCCTCTGACCTCCCTTTCCTCCCCAACACTAGTTAAATCATCTCACTCAGAAATCTATCCTTTCTTCTTTCACAGTATTTTTGAGAGTTTCTACCTTAATAATTTGGTTAATGGCTGTCTCTCCCTAGACTACAAGTTCTGCAAGGGAAGGGTTTGTATCATGTTTATTTACCACTGCATCCTACTTTAGTGCCTGGCACAGAGCAGGTGTTGAATAAAGGTAGTAGGAAAGAAATTAGTTCTTGAAAATCACTATCTGTCAGATAATATGTTAGGCGGTTTCACGTAGATTGTTTAATTATTTCAACAAATTAGTGAGGTAGGTGCTGTTACCCTATTTTACAGAAAAGTAACTGTAAGTTAGGTTGGGCGATTTGTATATGATTAATAGCTAATATGTGGCAGAGCCAGGTGTGTCTGACTTCAAAAGGCATGATATTTTTACCAAAGTACGAGGAAATATTCCAGAACTGTTCTTGAACTTACTTTTTGCAACAGAAAATAAATCATTAATGGCAGTATCTTTAGCATCCTCAGTGATATTTAACACTGCCATTGATCCCTCTGCCTCTCTATAGATTATATTCTCAGGTAAACATCTTGACTCATTACAGATTAACTTCATGGAGCGAGGAGATTTTGATCCACTCAGTGTCTTTGCGGGTCCTCCATTTATTTAACAAATATTTACTAAGTGCTTAAAATGTGCTGTGAACTACACCAAGCATTGTATTAGACATTGGCCTCTCCAGTCTCACCAGGAAGGAAATGGTGTACCCCATCTGTGTGTGGTGCCACCCCTAGTATCCCTCAGTGTGTGTTTCCTATGTCATCATGCAACCTGGTCTGTAAGATCAGAGGCCACAAAGAGCTTTATTTCATTTTTTCTATAAATATTGTGAGATGATAATGACTTTAGACATTTCTGAGAACTCACTGTTATTAGGAAACCCATTGCAATGAGTGCATCCTCAGCCTACATTGTGTTTGATCTACCTTTCTAGTCTGTGTTCACTCTTTACTTGTGCTTCTACATGTACCGCAGGACAGAGATGCTGCTGTTATTTTTGGCACTTATTTCCTTGCCTGTGTGCATTTGTGTTTGTGCATGAATATTTAATCAAAGAAAGGTTATTGACCTAACACTCAGACTTGCCTCTATAAGACAGAAGGAAGAAGAACAATCAGAGTCTGAGTCCATAGACAATAATTAGTGACACAAGTAATTCCTCGTGATCTCTGGAATCATTCTAAGTTGCTTTGACACATCCAAATTCTGTAAATACACAGGGGAAGAGTGACAGGGACATAAAAAGAAGGAAAGATTCTCACTGTCTTGTAGGAATTTATCTTTTAATCAGAAACAGAACAAAAAGCTTATGTAAACACTACAAGAAACCTTGGAATGAAAAAGAGAGGGGCAAAAAGAAGGAGAATTGTCCACTTGAGAGTCTGCTTGG